GTTGCAGTTTGTCCCCGGCCCTGGTTGGTCGTGCGGGTGGCAGCCACTCGATGTGTCCCTTTCACGTCGATGTTTCTCTCTCTCTTTCTCTTCCTCTCTCTCCCTCCCACTCTGTCTGAACAAAAAAATGGAAAAATGTCCTCTGGTGAGGATTAAAAAAAAAATAATAATAAACTGAACTGAGAATTCAGACAACACACTCGAAGCTCGTAAGAAACAGATGATACACTAGACTAGTAAGACCTGGGAGTGTGGACACTAGAAATCAGAAGTCAGCCCTGTCTAGCATGGTGTCCGGGGTGGGTTTGGGTGATAACTTAGCAGAAACCTAGGAGCAAGTAAGCAAGGGTAACTGTTGCTGATTTTTTTAAAAGAGTCAGTAGAAGATCTGGGAAGCATGTTAAAACAGAATTGCTTTTTAAAATTCCATCCATGCTGCCTCTGACCACCATAAGAAGGACACATGATTTTGTAGTTAAAAGATTTGGGTTGGCCCTGGCTGGTTTGACTCAGCAGTTAGAGCGTCAGCCCACAGACCAGTGTCTCAGATTCCGTTCCCGCTAAGGACACGCACGTACCGGTTGCTGTTTGTCCTCAACCCTGGCTGGGGTCGTGTGAGCGGCAGCCACTCAATGTGTCTCTCTCATGTGGATGTATCTCTCTCTCTCTCTCTTCCTCCCATTCTATCTGAAGATAAATGCAACAATGTCCTCGGGTGAGGACTAAAAAAAAAAAAAAAAAGATTTGGGTTGAAGTTCTAGTTCCATTGTGTAAAATAGCTGAGGGACATTGAACAAGTCATTTAACTCCTTGAAATCTCAGTTTCCCCAACTGTAAAATAAGGACACTAACAATCACAATTATCTAAAGGGTAGTAGATCCAAATGCACTATGAAAATGCTATGTACCCTATACAGCATCATACAAGTTTGTTGTTTTAACTTTACTTAAATAAGTGGTAAAACCATCTGGTCATTTTCACCTCTCCCATTTTGCTTCTCCTACACAATATTTAGCCTCTCATCAAAAGGTGGAAAAAAAAAAAAAGGAAAAACTGGTCTTGACATAAGGTAAAGTTCTTTAGTCCAGCTGCTCATAAAAATCACCTGAAGAGCCCTGGCCGGTTTGGCTCAGCAGTTAGAGCATCGGCCTGCGGTCCAGAGAGACCCAGGTTGGTTCCCGCTAAGGGCACATACCTCGGTTGCAGTTTGTCCCATGCCCTGGCTGGGTCGTGCGGGTGGCAGCTACTCGATATGTCCCTTTCGCATCGATGTTTCTCTCTCTCTCTTCCTCTCTCTCTCCCCACCACTCTGAAGGGAAAATGGGAAAATGTCCTCAGGTGAGGATAAAAAACAAAAAATCACCTGAAGAGCTTGTTAAAAAATAGAGGTACTTGTCTGGCCAGTGTGGCTCAGTGGTTGAGTGTCAACCCATGCACCAGAGGTCACCGGTTCGATTCCCGGCCAGAACACATGCCCAGGTTGTGGGCCTAATCCCCAGAGGGGGGCATGCAGGAGGCGACCAACTGATGTTCTCTCTCATCGATGTTTCTCTTTCTCTCCCTCTCCCTTCCTCTCTCTCTAAAAGTCAATAAAGAAAAAAATTAAAAAAAAAAAAAAAAAGAGCTTCTTGTGCTGCAAACCTACTGAGTCAGAATTTCTAGGACTACAAAGGGGGCAAGTGAGGTACCTTCCCAACACTGGGATCTCAAAAACAGAAGCCTGGCTTTGGGATTCTCTTTCAAGTTCATTGTAATACATTAAATACAAAATGTTTATTCTGCTTTCCTCCATTCACTGTTCAGGCAGTTCAGGAGCTTTTAAGGTACATAACTTTAAAATGTTTATCTAATTCCAATGTACTTTCAGGGACATGGCAAGTGATAACCACAAATTGGGTTCAAAGGTCCAATAAAATTAATATGTTCAGTTCCTATTATGTCAATTCAGCTACAATCATTAATTTCTACAACTGCAGAAGCTAATTTCTGATGCTCCCAGGACTCCATATTTCCTTTTAAAGACACTCAATCACCATTACTATGGAGCTGAAAGGGGCCTTATAGTTTAACCAGCTCAAAACTATTATTTTATAGATGAGGAAAAACAAGGCAGAGGTCTATAGCCAGAACTCCCACTGGTTTAGTACTTGAGGATAAAGGCAGATTAAACTATATATACTGATGCATGAAAGAAGGGAACCACCTTGAGGGAGGGCTATACTGCCAGCACCAAGAATGGTGCCCAATACATAGTACTCAACAAATATTCGCGGAATGAATGAATGAATGAATGAATGGATGAATGGATGGATGCACAGTAGAGGACCTAACAGTGGTATGCCAAATCTGGTTTCACTGCCTGTTTTTGTAAATAAAGTTGTACTGGCATACAGTCATATCCATTCGTTTACATATTGTCTATGCCTGCGTTTGTGCTGTAACAGCAGAGCTGAGTAGCTACCACAGACACTGCATGGCCTACAAAGCCTGAAATATTTACTGTCTGGCCCTTGACAGAAAAGGTTGGTGAGCCCTGTAATCAAGTTCAATGATAGATTGATCTATACTCCACAAATCTTGTTTGGGACACCATTTAGTATTCCTTCTCTCCCTGACTGAGCTACTTGGATTTCTCAGTGATAAACTACCTGCTACCCTGATAACAGGCACAGTCTGAAACTCTCTAAATAAAATTATTCTTGAGAATAAACTGGTCACAGTCTTCTTAGCAACCTTTAACCAAATCAACTAACTGGATGAGACTGTACAAACTATAAGGCACACTTAGCCCACTGTGTCTCACTATTGTAAAAGATCTACCCTTTCCTAAAACATGAGCAAAGTTTCCTCTTTCATTCCTTTTCCAACTGACTCATGGGTCTAGTCTTTTAAATCCCTTCCTGTAATTTTATATGAGAATAGGGCTCTCCAGTGTAAGAGCAAATTCTGTCATTTTATTTATTTTTTTATTTTTTTATTTTTTTTTATCCTCACCAGAGGACATTTTTCCATTTTTTTTTTTTTGTTCAGGTAGAGAGAGGAACAGAGAGAGAGAGAGAAACACCAATGTGAAAGGAACACATCGAGTGGCTGCCACCCGCACAACCGACCAGGGCCGGGGACAAACTGCAACCGAGGTACATGCCCTTAGCGGGAACCGAACCCGGGTCTCTCAGGACCGCAGGCCGACGCTCTAACCGCTGAGCCAAACCGGCCAGGGCGCAAATTCTGTCATTTTAATATCACTACAAAGTAGGTTCTATATTTCACCCACCCAACCCAAACACTTATAAAGTAAAAAGAAAGAAACCCATACACTTAGAAAATAAAAGGGTAAGAGGATCACCATCCTTATTTTTAATGCTCGAAAGCATTTCTTTTGTTGAGAATTCATTAGGGAGGTGGATCCCTATTCTAGTTCATTTGCAGGTCCTATAAGTGTAATTTTAAGTATTTTCATCAGACCAAAACTACAGCATAAGAAGGGTGTCTAGGGTGAAAAAAAAGGAGAAACATCTGTAACAAAAATAAATAAAAATTTGAGAGAAAAAAACTACAGCATAAATTTGAAAGTTGTTAAATAGGATTGGTATAGATATATACTCCAAAATATTGAAAACCGAGAATCAAAACAGATTTACACCAATGTTCATATTAGCATCACTCATAATAACCAAAAGGTAGAATAATAACCCAAGCATACATCTGCAGATGAATGGGTAAAAAAAAATGTGGTTTGTGTAAACACACAGGAATATTATTCAACCATAAAAGGAATGACACTCTGACACATGCTACAATATAGATGAACTTGGACAACATGTTAAATATAAAATAAGTCAGACACAAAGGACACATACTGTATTATTCCATTTATATGAGATATCTAGAATAGGTAAATTCAGAACAGGAAGTAGAACAGAGGTTACCAGGAGCTTGGGGAAGGAGGAATGGGAAGGTACTGCTTAACGGGTTAATCAAGTTTCTGTTTAGGCTGATGAAAAAGTTCTGGAAATGAGTAGCAGTGATGTTTACCCACATTGTGAATGTACTTAATGTCACTGATTTGTACACTTAAAATGGTTCAAGCAGTAAATTGTTATGTATATTTTACCACAATAAAAATGAATAAATTATAAGTGTTCTTTCCAAATAAAGGATGGGTATAATCCCTATTACCATACTCAACTACATATCTCAACAAGTTCCCAAAATGCACGGCAATATTAATAAAGAACACTACCAAGTAATCTCAATTATGAGACGCTAAATCAAAATGTGATCTCCTTAATGTTAACCTGTAACCAGGTATGAACATGTAGTAATGCTGAATGCTACTTGTACAGCAATTTCTTTGTGCCACAAAAATAAGGTCTTTAGTGTAAATCAAATCAGAATAAAAGAAAAAAATCACAATGTAGCAACAAGATTAGGGTCAATCAAGGGTGGGGACTGACATCACTCAGGAGCTGCGAGCTACAATGAAACTTTTTCTGACAAGAGCCCAGTGATGGATTCTTCTAAATTGCTTAAGTTGATTCTATCCTGTGCTGCTTATTTTACCTTCCATCCTATCCTGCCACACATTAGCTCCTTTTTCGTACCTTCGCCGACTCTCCAACCCAACGGTAAACTCCTATGTGCAGGGCCCTGTCTCTCCACGAGCTCTACCAACCCGGAGCACTGAGCTGGCAGGTACGAGACAAAGTATTATAAGCTGTAGGTGCGACTTTCCCTTCAGCTAGTCTACCCAGCAGGTAGTCACGGCCTCGAACATCCCAGGAGCCATCGCGCACCACGTCTCAGGCCCCAGGCCAGATGCTCGGTTCGCCGTTGACCTAGGCATCCGGCCAGGCACTGAGCACTTCCGAGCTGCCCCCAGCAGCGCCCCGGCGGAAGAACTCAGCCTTCACAATGGCGGACGCCCCAGGCCCCAGTCCAGGAGGCCGGCCTCACCCGGCCTAGCTTTGCCCCGCCCGTGCCCCGACGCGGCCCTCACTTGTGCGTTTGCTGGTACAGCGGTTCCATGTCGCCGACCCGGCCGGGTCCGGCGCCGGCTTCCTCCGAACACGTCCCCACAGCCCTTCTTCCGGCTTTGGGCTTCCGGTCTCAGGACCCTCTCTACCCTACCGGCTCAGGCTGTCTCCCGTACGCCTTACTGGTGGTGATTACGAGAAATGGAGAAAAGAGGCCGGGAGAAGAAGGTTAACTGCAGTTAGACGTTCGGCCTCAGATGGGGGACTAGGAGGTATAGGTTTGGGCGGGAGGCTGTCATCAGCACTGAGTCAGGCACTAGCAAGGGCAGCCTCAGAGTACAGACGTGAGGTCCTCAGAGCGAGGTTGGAGGCGAGTGGGCGGGAACCTGCTCCTCTTTGCAGGAGGCAGGCTAGGGTCGGTGAGTGCTAGGCTTCGCGTTGAACTGTTTAATTTTGGGTCTGGAGATTAGTTCTTCACTGGAGTCTCTAGCACAAGCTTCTCCGATCTCAAGTTTGTCTGCTTACTTGCCAGTCCACATATCCCACCTACCCGTAGTCTATTGATCCATCCAGTAAACCCACGTTGAATGAGTGGTTAATTATGTGTTATGCGTGTTGTAGAGGAAACTAGATTCCTCCTGCCCTCAAAGAGGTCGAAGTCTAGGAAAGGAAATAAGATATGTATACAAATAAACGTCTACAGAGTAGAAAGTCCAAACATGTTGAGCCGGGCTGGGGTTGGCTCTGGTAGGAGATTCAGGGAAGACAATGTAGGAGGTGACATTTGAATTAGGACTTGAAGGATTTGGACACTTTGGCCTCTCCACATAGGCCTAACTCATTCCATCCCACTAGGCTTATCTGTGGTTCCTCCCAAGGGAGGAGACGTTTCTCTTCCTTTGAGAAGTTGATGCTACTATTTTCCTGTATCCTGGATCCCGCCCAGTTTTGTGTCTCAAGAGACTGTCTATCGGGTACATTCTTTCCCTAATATTATTTTTCCACTTATTCTAATATTTATTTATTAATGAGCACCTACTGTTACAAGGCACAGATATTAAGGGTAGGAATACAAGTAAGACAACCTTCAAATCTCATCTCTCATTGTCTGTTGGGAGGGCTGTTCATGCCCTCCAGCTATATTATCAGATAGAATAAGTACTACAATTGATAGAAAGAACCAGTTCTCTGGAGAAGAGCAAGTGTTCCAAATTAGCATGGCGGTACCATTCTGGTGGCCTAATCTTGTGCAATGCCACAAAAAAAAAATACTGTGCTGGCCAGTAGAAGCAATCTGCTTGCCAGGTTGCCCTAGACAATCCATAAGCATGAGCCCTGAAAGCTTTTCATGGCACCTGGCCAACCCCATGAATGAGGCAGAGGGTTCGAGAGTACTCTGAAGAGAAGAAACAGACTGCGACAATCCCAACCACTGCAGGGGGGCTTTAAAAAATTCAAAAATAGTATTTTAAAGTGTGGGGACCCCTGAGGCCCAAGACCTGGGCCAGGGACTCTACTTTTCTGGGTCTCAGGACAATAGTGGATGGTAGAATAAAGATGGTCTCATATTCTTTGCTATTGCACCCATTAAGAGGTGGAATCTAATTCCATTCCCTTTGAATCTGAGCTGGTCTTAGTGACTTACCTGACCAATAAAATGTGGCAAAAATAAAAGTCTGGGATTTCCAAGGCCAGGTCATAAAAAGCTTTGCAGCTTCTAACCAGCCTCTTGGAACACTCCTTCTGGTAGCCCTGAGTCATCTTGGAAAAAACTGGACTGCCTTGAGGCTACCATGCTGGATAGGCCATGTCTGTAAGTGCTCCAGTCAACATGCCCAGCCGAGCCCAATCTTCTGGCCAAGGCACCAGAAATGTAAATGAAGACATCTTGTACCCTCTGTACTAGTCTATCCACCTGCTAAATCCCACCAAGTGACCTCTGCAGACTCTACATCAAACCGAATAATTGCTCAGCTGAGCCTCTGCCTGAATTCCTATCCCACAAAATCAAGAGATATAGTAAAATTCATGATATTTTAAGCCACTAAATTTTGGGGTAGTTTGTTATGCAGCAATAAATACCCAACCTCAAAATATTTAACATTTAATTGGGGAGATGGGGTTCAGGGCTTATCAAAAGGTAACAATGCAAGAGAAGGTATGACTGTGTATTGAGTGAGTGGTAAAGACAATTAAGTTCTGTTAGAATGCAGAAAAGGAAGAGATCCCTTTGAATATGGATGATAAAGGAAGACTTTCCAGAAGAGATGGGGTTTCAGCTGGACCTTAAAATACAAGAAGGATTAGGACATATGAAGAGGCAGGCATAGGACATTCCTGGTGAGCAGAGAGGTAAAGCTGGGAAGGTGTGGCTAGTCCCAAGAGGCAGTCTGTATGGTTCTTCTTGGCTAGAGAAGATGATTTCTGCCATAGAGGAAGATGAAGCTGGAATGGTGAAGCAGTCATACTGCAGACAGGAAAAACGCTTTGCCTCCACCTTGTGGCCTTGGGGACTTTCTGGAGGGCTTTGAGCCTCAAGTAATGGAACCAAGAATATTTCAGGGAAATTACTATGATGACTTCATGCTTTCTTCTTTTATTTAAACTTCAAGGGATCCACCCAGCTGGTGTGGCTCAGTGGTTGAGCGTCCACCCATATACCAAGAGGTCACCAGTTTGATTCTCAGTCAGGGCACGTGCCAGGTTGTGGGCTCAATCCCCAGTTGGAGGCATGCAGGAGGTGGCCAATTGATGTTCTCTCTCATCGATGTTTTTATCTCTTTCGCTCTCCCTCTCCCTTCCTCTCTCTCTAAAATCAATAAAGAAAAAAAAATTTTTTTAAGAGATGCCCCACAGTTTTACAGTTCCAGGATTTGACAGATCTATTCATAGTTAACCTGTTTGTTCCCTTTATAGCCTGATAAACTGGGAACACATCCTTCTGAAGAGTCTTTTTGGTCTGTCCAATTTGAGGAAACAATTCATATCTCTGAACCTGCATTAATCTGTTGTGTCTCTTTGGCCAGCTTGAGCAACTTGAATAGGCTAATTCTCTTAACCCTTCTACCAAACTGTCAGTGCTACTTACACTGCCTTAGCCCTGGGCTCCGCCCCCTCTCACATACCTTATGTTCCTATTTCCTTCTGACCACCCCCTGTGTCCCATTGTCTGTCCCACCTGTGCCAATGCTCAAGCGCCACCTGGAACAGTTGGTGTCAGTTGTGAATATGTCTTACTTCCTCAGCTAAACCGTGAGAGCCTATTGAAAGATTCTCATCATTCCTCAACCACTCCCTTCCCTTTCCAATCATCCTCTTCAGTGTTGCCCAAAAGATCTTTCTAACACAGAGATTTGATGTCATATATACGTCAAGTCTTTTAATAGCTCCCTGGTGCCTAAGAAACACATTTGGCAGTCAAAGCCCTGCTTACTGGCTGCATCCCCGGCCATTTCCCCCATCCTAACTAGAGGAATTGCAGCTCTTCTCACAAGGGCCTTTGTGTCCTCTGGCCTTTGCATGCACTCTGCATGCACTGTTCCCTGTGCTCCAAACACCCTCTCTTCTGCCTCAAGCCTGATTAACTCCCACTCTTCGTAGTCTTACTCTGGTTTCACCTCTGTTGGAGTGCACCCCTGACACCCAGGAAGGGTTAGAACTCCTCCCCCATTCTCCTCTGGTACCTGGTGCTCCCTCTCAGCATATCTCACAGGTGTCACAACTCTCTGTCCACTAACCTGAGGACAGGAAATGTATCTTTTATTCTTTTTTTAAAAGTTTGTTTTTATTGATTTTTAGAGAGAGAGGGAGAGAGAGATAGAAACATCAATTGGTTGCCTCCTGCACACCTCCTCCTGGTGATTGAGGCCACAACCTGGGCATGTGCCCTGACCAGGAATCAAATCAGTGACCTCTTGGTCCATGGGTCGATGCTCAACCACCGAGCCACACCGGCTGGGCGTATCTTTCATCTTTGCATTTCCCCAGCATCTAGCTCAGTGACTGGTACATATTGTTAAATATCTGTTGACCTGAAATAGACTCCATTTAATCAACTCACTCTCCTAACTATTCCACCTTCCTGCCATTTCTGAAGCCCAAAATTATTTGAAAGTTGACCTTCAGACAATTATACACTGCCTGATCAGTGGAGCCATTCTTGCTGAAAGTGTTGTCACTAAAATCAGTGCAGAGTGCTAAACAAAATGCTTCCTTTTAAAGCCCTTTCACAACCGTTTCTCATTCTGTGCTAATGACCAGGTGGTGGGAGGCAGGACAGGCATCACCATCCTGGTTTTCTAGACAAACATGCTGAGCTTCAGAGAAATTGACTTGCTTTCTTTCCCAAGCTGACGGTGAGAGATGGGAACTAGGTCCAGGCTGAAGTCACACACCACCCTTCAGGTAGTTACTGTGTCATCCTTCCTCTTAGACCCACTTTGAACAGCAACAAACCCCTAGTCACTCAGCCAAAGACAGAGAAACATAATCTCACTGCCTCTGGGTTTTCTCCCCAACCCCTTCGATTAAAGCTGAGCAGACAGAAAGGATGACATTTCTGAACTCAGGGGCTGCAATGAGCTGAGAAAAACAAGCATCTGCGGTCCCTAGCGGGACCCACCAGGTGGAGGGGATATTGCCCCGGGTGCTGCAGGAGGTGAGGAGGGGTCTCCCAGGAAGCTGCCCTCCTTGGAAAGTCCATCAGCAAATTGTCTCATGTAGCCATAACAGCCAGGAGCAAGGTGGGGGGAGCAGTGTTTTGTCCAAAAAGAGCCAGTGTATTGTAAACACGATAAAAGGGGCTGGAAAGCCCCACTTATCACTGACTAATGTGTCCCCAGGTCATTGGGGAGCTGGCCCCCCACCAGCAGCCGTGAGCAGGGAAAGAGAATTCCCGATTAACCCCATCTAACCCCATCACTAGTGAGCAGGGCCAGGGCAAAGGTCTGGCTCTTCCTCTTGCTAAGTGATTCCCATGGTCATTAGGCGCTCGTGGGGCTCAGAACAGAGTTTCTAGGAAACCCTCTGCCAGGCTGCAGAGATGCCTCTGAGCCCCCTGCTCCTTGAGGTCACATGGATCAGGGTGGGTGTGTGGGCATCCTTGGA